ACATTGGCGCCCCAGGAGTCCAGACCTGGCGACATCTGTACTGACAACCCGTCTTGGAAGTCAGAGCCAGGCGAAAGACCAAGCCAGTTTAGAAAAGAGGTCGCTGCCCAAGCAGCGCATCGCGCAGGCCATCCTGATGCACCTTGGCACTCATCTTCTATCAGATTGCACTCATCCCGCTGACCTTGGTTTGAGATTCAGTCCCGGATACCTGTCAACGGACGGCAGCCTGACGACGTTCATCAGACCAGTCGGTCCTGTCCAACAGGTCCGCTGCTGACAAACGGTGAGTTCTTTTGTTTGCAGCAAATCGTCAATTTAGCCTGAGATGTGCAACAATACCGACAAGAAAAATTGCCGGAAAAAAACGGAAGATGGCGAAGGCAGGAATGCACTCCAAAAAGCCGGTTATGGTACCATCAGGTTCATCATTTTGTCCCTTTAGCGTCTGAGTTGTTCGATGGAACTATTCCACCCACAACTTGGCTGTCACAATCCACTCCGGGTCAAAGAAAGATAGATGTGCTATGCATTTGGCAGGTCTCTCGCATACGGCCCGGGGTGGGGAGTGGAGCATTATGCTGACCCGTCGCTGTAGGGACTATAAAGAGGAGATGTTTGCAGCTAGACAGACAGAAGGGCGTGGAATCTGTGGGATTTAGCCACGCAGACGGGCTCGACGGCGGGCTGGACGAGTCCGCGCCAGGGGGACGGAATGGACTACGGGGTAGCCGTGCATCCGGCAGACGAAAACACTGTCTGGTGCAGACGGTCCCAGTGGACGGTGTCCGGTCGGTCGGATGAGATTGTACTACGGACACGTGCATGCGTCAGCAGTGCTGGGGCCGGTCCTGATTCCCGGCAGCCGTGCTGTGCCCGGTCCTGATGACCAGCGGCCGCACTGTGTCCGATCCTGATTCCCGGCGGCCGTGCTATATCCAGTCCTGAAGCCCGGCAGGCGTGCTGTGTCCGATCCTGATGACCAGCAGCCATTCTGTGTCCGGTCCTGATATCAAGGACTCTCGAGAAAACGGCATGTAATCTTTTACGGCCGTGTATTTATCAGTCATTGTCGGCATGTATGGAAAAATAAGCCTATTTCACCGACGTCATTGGAGGCACCCAACACTGCCAAACAAACCACCCACTAATTCGTCACTCGGCACAGCCCCCGCGACGGGAATGGCCAGTTAGCGTCAGCTTTCGTGTGTTTCGAAGAATTTTTCAGGTCTGGCTGCCAGATATGTTGCTGTCGTCACAGAACCATTCCATGACCGTATCAAACAATGATGTAATGTGGAGCATTTAACAAACTTTGAAATTTTGCTGCTTAGCGTCGTTTTTGAACCTTGAAAGCTTTCCAATTGTTACAAGTAAGCTTTTCCTTCATATCTGATGCTTACCTTGATATCTTCAAATGTGGAGCATTCCATTTAGGACAAGACTCATTGTCATGGCTATATCCAGACATCAATAGACAGATATACTTTACTACGAATGGCTTGCTATACACTGAGGACAACGAATTGTAAATTCAGGGTATTGGTGAACCAAACTTAGATGCCAAGAAGTTTTTGCACTGGAGCAGAACTCAATAATTGCGGATAGGTACGAGAAATGACCCCTCCCCCTTCCATATTCTACCTCCCCGGCTCTATTATTGTGCAAATGACCACCAAATTAAATGTTGGATAAAGAGCATCTCCATCAAATGACGTCACATCTAAACAAGCTGGAATGTCCCAGGTGAGTAATCTGTCATAACAGCGTTCAGAATGAATATGCTGTGCCTGTCGGGGCAGGAGGTGATTTATAAACAGTTCATAAATAACTCTGGATTTCTTCACTCTTGCTGGGAGATGGAAATTAGCCGGAAGATAATTTGGCTAACACTGACAACTCGTGACGAATTTGGCAAACGCTGACATTGGCGACTGCATGGAGAGACAAGACAAAACATATTGTCCTTCACAGCGGAGAGAATCACTTAGAAGGGCCGATCCCAATCGGGAGAGGGGCAGCCAGCCAGAAATGTTCTCACAAACAGGAACGGTGCTCATGGGACTTTATGATGTGCAACTCGGTGAAGTCGTAACAAATTTGTCGTAAAAACGCTTACGAAAGAGGCCGTGCTCGGCGAAGACGGCATAACGATCTCAGGCAGTAAACTTCTGTGTGGTTGGCGATGGAAAAGGTAGGCTCTCCTTAGCGGCAGGACGCGACCTGGCCGAAACCCAGGACGAAGAGGCGCTCCCGGCCACAGGGCAGCAACGTATCAGTCGTGCGCTGTTGTCACGTTCTTTGCCAGGCAAAGCTGGCATAAACAGTCTGGGTGGCTCTCATAAAACAGGAACGGTGCCCACAAAACGTGGAAGATACGAGTTGGTGAATTCGTCACATGTTGCTCGTTAAGATGTATACGAAAGATGTCGTGCTGGGGGAAGCCAGCGTAAGGATCCCAGCCAATAAACCCCAGACCGGTTGGCACTGGAAAGGCAGGCTCTCCTTCGGGGCAGGCACACTACCTCGGTGACACTAACGATGGAAAACCATCCTGTATGCCATAACGTGCCATAACGTCTTCACTGTGCGCCATTGCCATTCTTCCAAAATGCCCCCGGAACACCCGTGCGAAGAAGCCTGACGTTTCACAAAGGGAGGAAAGCGATTTATGCCTCCGGATGAGGTTCTTAATGGTCTTGTATTGGCAGAATGCTAGGCAGCAGTGATCCACTCCGACGCTGTGTGCCACCAGAGGGGACCAGCGGGTGAAATTGGAGGGCCGAGGTTTTCTCAGGGATGTGACGAATGAATGTACAGGATTGTGCGAACCGAAAACGAATGGGTGGACTGGAATGAAAGTTAATTATCCTGACTGGAATGGACTGGAATGGAAGCCAATTGTCAGATCTCAAAGCTAAGGGAACGAACTTTTCAAATCACTACAAACTGTGGGAGAACGTTGCTACCAGTGATGACATTGAAATAAGTACCAAGAGGCCCTGTGATTTTCAAAAATTGTTCCAGAAAGAATAAAGCCCTTCAATGCTGATGTTTTTAAACTGATGAAAGGTTGCAGAATATTGTAGAAGCGTTTTGCGGCCAAACAAACCCTATAACCACCTCCCATTTGGTAAGACATTGATTTCGTCCCTCTCTGTTGCAAATTGATGACGCTGTCCCTGTCAACAGCTTTCATCAGTGCGTTGGAAAGTCTACCTTCGTTGATAATTCACCATACGGAGATCTCCCTGTGCATGAAAACACCGGTTACAAATGATCTGCCTAAAAAATGACTGGGCATGAAATAGGTCAGGGTGGGCAGTTGTAATCGACATAGATGAATCCGGAATTATCTGCGATTTTGAAATGCTTTGGTTGCCTGTATTTAATCATTTGTGGGTGGATACTGGTCACAACATCAGGCCTGTACGCTCCCAAGTATTGCTATAGTACTTTTCATGACCTCCAATGCTTGACAGACAAAATAATGGGTCAATCCCCACTTATACGGCACTGAAGATTATCAAAATAGTGCTGGAAAAGAAAAAAAGGACTCAAAGGGATTCGTTGCGCCTGTCGGGGGTCCCCGGGACGACGAAGGTGTCTGAGCAGGTCCAAAACCACCAACGCCAAGCAGTTGACTCTGAATCGGTTTGGACCCTGGGGAACCATTTACGAAGGAAGAACAAGGCCGATGCTCGCAATAGTTGCTGAAGTACTCTTGTGTTGGCCAGGCCCCTGAAACAAGGTGGCTCTATGTATCAAGGCACAGAGTGCTTAACAGGGTAGCCGTGTTGACAAGGGGCTCCTAATCGACCTGAGGCTCATTTCGCTGAGGAACAAGACGGGACTCTAAATGTCAAAGAGCCACTTGCGTTGGTCGAGTTCCTCTTGCCTGACATGGGGTGGAAATGCAAGAAATGACGACGAAATGGCCCATAATAAGACAATAAACGTGTCTGGCCAGTCACGAGCTGTAATACCGAACATGGGCCCTTCAGATCCCTGGGCTCGGACCCTAAAACGGGCCCGGGACCCCGTTTAAGCGGGGGGAGGGGGCGACAGCTTTAAATGCGGTCCGGACTGCGGTTCAGATACGTAAGTGGGTGGCATGTTTTACTGTCGTCATAATTGTCGTTAAGCTTCTTTCGAGTCGATTATTTTAAAATTAGAGCTCCAGCAAAGCATGATTGTTGAGTGTACTCTAGGACTCCACCCTCCAATGGTGAAATTCGAATTCTACGATAGAGCTTTATGGAAGAGGTTGAATGTACCGTCATGCCTGGCACGGGCCCGTGCCCTTTGACCTCCTTGACAATGAACAGACGCTGCTACAGGCCACAGACCATCCAAATCAGGGGTCAAATGGTGAGCGCACACGGGCGCAGCCAAGATCGAGAACGCAGAGGCCCACACTTTGCTGTTGCAAAGTATGGCCAGCGTAATTTGGACTCGAAAAATTAACAGTGATATCTGTATTATGGCTTGACGGTGCTGCAGTGGCGCTGCGCATTGTTATTATTGGACGTAACTAGTCCTGAGGTTTCACGAGAGTATGTTTTTGAAACAAGCCCCGGAGGTGGCACACCCCCTCAAGGAAGTTTCACACGAGAGCAAACAAAATGCATCCCGAAATCAGGTAGTACGAACGAAACAAGTAGATCTCAGTGCAAACACTTCGCCCAAACACAGCGGCCAGTAACTGCAAAGATAGGTGACCGGCGGTATTGTCACTGGCCGGACCGGGTCGAGTGTTCAAGCCGCACGATATCCGGTGAGTTGACATTTAAGACTAGCTCGGACTGCGGTCTGTATGCAAAACCAAGTGTCACGTTCTATCGTTATGCATGCGACGAGGCCGGTTTTCCATTTTCAGCTCGTCCATGGAACAACGGGCGCACCACCCCGCCACGCGGCCCAGCCTGCCAAGGCCGCCCTGCCCGCGGCTGCCGTTCGGACCTCGGCGAGAGACCGGCCGCACTGCTTCGCCAGTCCGCCAGGTGGCGTCGAGGGCGAGCGCGAAGTGCTGGACACCGGCCGCTGACTGTCTGCCAGCGGCTGATACTCGTCGAGGAACGGTGCACCAGGAGCCGGCACACACCTAGGAGCGGTGCACCAGGAGCCGGCGCACACCGAGGAGCGGTGCACCAGGAACCGGCACACACCGAGGAGCGGTGCACCAGGAGCGGGCACACCGGGGAGCGGCGCTGCAGGAGCCGGTACATGCCGAGGACTGGTGCAGCAGGAGTCGAACTCTCAAAGGGGAGCGTTGCTGCAGGACTCTCCAGTCTTAGCCAGGTAAGGAGGCGCTGTTCACTGCAGCATGCTGGAAAAAGAAGCGGGATCTGGCGGGTGCTGGACATCTTCCGGACCTGACAGTGTCGCCTCGGCAGGGCCGCTGCCGCAGACACCTAGTCCAGCTTGGCAAGGCTAAGCCGATGACAGCGACGCTTTCGTCAATGAAAGCGTTTGGATGGAAAGCTACTGTCAAGAATGAAATGAGTGGCATGCATGCCTGACATGCATGACATGCATAAGTGGCATGTACGCATGCATCTGTAATATAGCCCAGCCATTCGGCCAGACCCAGTAAAGTGCAAGCCGAGTGACTGTAATGTATTTCACCAAACTTGGGTCGGGTGTCATAGATTAGCATCGAAGGAGGTCAGCTGCAAACATCGCAAGGTTGCATCATGATCGTGAGATAGCAATGCACGATGGCAACCAGATGTACCGAGAGATAGATTCATTCGGATCTTGCAAGAAGAGGCTCTTGCGCTCATGGGGCTATGTCGATAGAACGGCTGACCTGGAGAATCGAAGACGATTCAGCTAAATCGGATTAATGTCACGACAAACTGAACTTTACGCATAACAGCTTCTGAAGCAAAAGCTTCAGGTGTCCTGCCCTCAAATTTGTATTCATCATGATGACAACCAATTTTTACCTCATTCAGTTACGTTATCATTTTCAAGGAGCTTTCTACATGACTAGGAGAAAGCAGCAGCGATGACGAAAGGCGCGGAGAAACGGCAAAAGCAACAAAGGGAGAGAAAAGCTCATGCAAAAGAAGAAAGGCTGTGTTTCGCGTCGAAGAAGGGCGACAACTGTTTATACATGTGGTGTTTGTGCACTTGAGCAGTCCAAAATATATTAATAGCCGGGCAAAGCTTACACGATCTGCATCGGTAGTATTCGTGGAGTCATATTGGAAGGGTCAGTTTCGTCACCAAGCCCCATGCCCTTGGCCGAGTTCGGTCATGGGTGCACTGTATAACATGCAGTAATAAGTCGCACCCTGATGCTCAACGTGCTCCGACTACGTAATTCCCTAGCAGCTGGTTCCGTGTCTCTTGGGGCAGGCAAGCCAACTCGAATCCGTGCTTCCTTAGGACTAAGATGGGAAACTCAAGACAGATCATGGTGTGGCCTGCACCGCAGTCCACCCGTGTCGCGTACTCCTCATTTAGGGTTCGGTTATGCGCCGGATCTTAGCCGGGCCGTAATGGAGCCCGCCTCACACACACCCCTAACGGTTGAGTGGCCATGTGCCAGTGGGCAACGACTGGTGAGCCGCATCGGTACGACAGTGCCCGCACTATTGCCCAGCTGATCTCTGCGTGCAGCGTAGCGCAAATGAAAGCAAATCTTCCGCGTTTCTGTTAACACTCAACCAGATGTCACATTGCTTACATAAACGTTGAAGCGTAAACAGTTTACATGGTGTGACAGTTTACGCCTGTTTTAATCTGGACAATCTCCCTGACGTGCGACATATGGCTTGTCAACGCCCTGGGGCAGGCCAGCCGCAAACCGCATCTCACAGCCCGCCGATTAGATCCGACGTTGGGGGTCAGGCGCGGGAAAACATCAACACATCAGGCGGCGACCGCACCAGTGTGGCGGATGCAATCCGCTGGCAATGAGTCACAGCGCATTTAACACCCGTGGATGGCCCCGGTCACAAACAGTCCTTCACCAGCCGGAGAGAAACCGGCCAGCCGCCGGCGCCGCACGCGGAGAAAGGCCCCGAGGGCGGCCGCGGCCCCACCCCGCGCCTGCCTCGACACTTCACGCAGGGTGTTGCGCACTCCCATGGCCGCAGGCGGGCCGGACGCGGTGCGCGGCGTGCCGCTAGCGGACGGTGTGCCGCGAGCGGACGGCACGCCCGTCGCACCCGGGGGCGTCAGCCGCGGTAACCTCACGATGGCATCAGACGGATAAACGCGGCTTTTCCTGGTCTTCACCCAGAAGGAAATCCCTCTCTCCCGCTTAACTGGGCCAGCCTATCAGAGGCTGGGAGGCCCCGTAAGACAGCAACGCTGGTGGGCCTGCGTGCTCGTGGAGCACCAGCGTGTTGATAAAGGATGCCGGCCGATCTTGCGGCCTGGAAAAAGCTGCACGTTCACGAATATGTGACAAGACTAGGGGGGCGGGGGGGTCGGCCCGCGGGAGTGGCAGAGTGGCAACAAGGGAGATGAGCCCGAGACAGAGGCCGTTGGCCGGCCGACCACCGCATGGTGAGACGGCGACTGGGAGCAGCCGATCTGTGCCGATCGTGACTGGCAGAGGAAAAGAAGCGTTCGCCTGCATACACACTCAGTGGCGGACTGTTTGCTTGGTAGGCGTGCTGTGTCTGTAGTGGCATCTCAGCCGTTGGGCACGCGTCCCGCCCGGGAAAACCCGGCCGATTTCTCTTTGCGTGCGGTTTGGCTACAGCGTCTTGCATGTGATAAACACGTGTGAATCACACGGGCACCACCTGCATCGCGTGCCGGGCACGTACGCCTCCACGGCGTCTACGCCGTACCATCTGCTCCTGTGCCTCGTGTCCAGTCGCACGTTCTTACTGATTAGAATTCGCTCATCGTCAAGTGTTCGCTGTTACAAAGTGGCGCCGTCGCCTGACTGCTTAAGGAGGTGCTCCACATTTGTATGGGGTTTTGGGTTGCTAAAGCTGTCTTAAAGATCATTCGGTGCAGCTCACAGCCCTGCCCTTCGTAAGACCTAAGCGCATCTAGTTCCTGAGCCGTACGCTTGCGAAGATGTGCAGATCGTTTCGTGGATACTTTTTCATGGTCATCCAGGCATTCATGACGCCATAATAACGTCGCTGAAATCTTGCCATTCGAATAGCGTTAAACTGATTCTTAATCAATGTCGTGGAGGTTAAGATAACGCAACCAAACAATGACGCATGGAGGAATATATCTACTTCTCAAAGAAATTGTGCTGTTTTGAGCAGCCATTCCCACTGAAAAGGAATGTTCCACATTTGAAGGTATTGAAACAAGCATCAGGTATCATGAGATAAGCTCACTGCGAACTATAAGTGTACCTCCAAGTAGAAAAGAATGCTCTATGCAACGCAATTTCTCTGCTCAGTCAATAGGCTCATATAAATGTCATTGTTTTATTACGTCACTGAATTCCACTACAATGATTATGTTACTTCATACCTTGCACCACTTTGATTACGAGCCAATTGACAGCCTTGTATCTGGAAATCATGCTCGCGAACGACAGATATGAACGACTCCAACAATTATATTTGTATTGGCCTTGATCATCGCATGATTAATGGAATGCCAGGATTTCAGTGACGTTATTATGGAGTCATGAAGGCCTGGGTGACTTTGAAAAAGTCTTCCACGAAAATCTGCACGTATTCGCGGGCGAATAGCTCAGACACTAGACGGGTTTATGACAGACAAAAAAATGGCAGTGCTGTAAACTTTAGCGGTTGATCTTCAAGGTGGCTGTTTCTATTCAAGCTATTTCAGAGAGCGAGAGGGAGAGAGAGATAGGGAGAGGGAGAGAGAAATAGAGAGAGAGAGAGAGGGGGGGACAGAGAGAGAGAGAGAGAGAGAGAGAGAGGGGGGGGGCAGAGAGAGAGAGAGAGAGAGAGAGAGAGAGAGAGAGAGAGAGAGAGAGAGAGAGAGAGAGGGGGGGGGCAGAGAAGAGAGAGAGAGAGAGAGAGAGAGAGAGAGAGAGAGAGAGAGAGAGAGAGAGAGAGAGAGAGAGAGAGAGAGAGAGAGAGAGAGAGAGAGAGAGAGAGAGGAGAGAGAGAGAGAGAGAGAGAGAGAGAAAGAGAGAGAGAGAGAGAGAGAGAGAGAGAGAGAGAGGAGAGAGAGAGAGAGAGAGAGAGAGAGAGAGAGAGAGAGAGAGAGAGAGAGAGAGAGAGAGAGAGAGAGAGAGAGAGAGAGAGAGAGAGAGAGAGAGAGAGAGAGGGAGATAGAGCGCACCATCCGTGGCCACCCGCCGTTTTCCAGCCCCGCGACCGTCGTGGGAGCAAAGGAGGCTCTCCCGTTCGCGGCCAGCCCGTCCCGCCGCGACGCCGCAGAACGTCACGCTTGGGCTCGCCGCCCTAGGCGCTGCGTGGCCTTCAGTCGCCCTTGGCCGCACAGCGGCGGGGCCGCGGTTGCGTACGTGCGTATCACCGGTCGGCGGCCTCCTTCGTTTGGTTTGTGTCCCGCCGGCCGCATGAACCAGGCGCTAAGGCTCTGAGTCGCCGCTTGACCGCTGACTCACGTGCGGACGATCTCGGCGCTCCCGCGGGTTCAGACGACCCGAGCAGAACGGGCACCAATAGCCCATGCATTCGTGGTGCGCCGTGGAACGTATATGCGCAGTGTTGTGCCATGATCTGTAAGATCACGCTGACATAGAAGTGGTGACAAACGGCCGTCAAGATTGAGGGGAAGGGTCATATTTATATGGTGCAAGAGGCAAAAGGCTTACACTCCCTTCAGGCCTTTTCCTGAAGGGAGTGTTACACAATGGTATGGGGTTTTAAACTTAAATAGCCATCTTCAAGATCATTCAGTAATGTGCACAGTCCTGCCCTTCTGAGACCTAAACCCCTCTAGTTTCCGAGCTACACGCCCGTGAAGATGTGCAAACTATTTTGGGGAGGTTATATCAACGTCGCTCAGTCGTCAATGACGCCATAATTACGTCATTTGAATATTGCCATTCCATTGGGGCAAAAATACGATGGCATAACCAAACAATGAGTATTGACAGATCCATTTGCTAAACAGAAAAATTGTGTTGACTAGTGAAGTCTTTTCATCCTAAAAATATATCAATCGTTATAAGTGAGCTCATGTTATCACATGTTATGCCTACTTCCCCATCATCAAATATGCGACATTTCCTTCAGTCTCCCATGATTTTACATTCATAAGTCATGTTGTGTTTGTAATCAGATGTAAGTTGAACAGCTAGCACCTGTCTAAATATTATCTAATATACATCGAACAATGTTTTGAGATCAACTCGACCCAGAGCATTT